TAGCACAAAACAGCTACCAACCTTAATGCAACAGGCAGTGTTAATTTAGCATTATTATTATTATTATTATAGTGTTATATATATATATACTATAGTTATATTTTTAACTGTTTATTTATTTTGTTTAAAAAAAGTTTTAGTAAGTTTGCATGCTTGTCTTTTTTTATTAGTTTTTATGATTTTATTTATTGATTTCTGTTGTTTTATATTTCTATTTAGCTTTATTTTTGAATCCAGTTTTAATTTGAGTCATTTTAGTACTTCAGCAACAGGAGCCTTATTGTAAAGTGTTACCATTTTAGTTAACGAAACTTGGAAATACAGTTGATTGGGGTATATAATCTTAAAACTGTGTGTAGGGGAGGAGCACATGAATATTAGGTCACATAACATTTATGACCTTTAAGTGGCTACTAGCTAGAGTATGCTTACCATGTTGGAACAGGCATAATTGTCCCTGGAGGGAGCTATAATGGTTCAATTTTGATGGAGCAAACACTCAACATTAATAACAAAATGCTCTGTGCACAGAAACCCTAACACACTGATCTGTACTGAAAGGTACATCTTTTCCTAGCCAGCTTTCATATTTTACCTTATGTACCAACTTCCTAAAAAACAATTATATGCTTTATTGATATATTTTGGGTTGTACTACACCAACGATCTCTAACCAGAGAGAAGACATCATAGAATCTCTCAGTAATTAAGACATCCTGAAGCAAACGAGAGTTAACAGAATAAATCTGGCCTAATATGAAGCTCAGACTGGCATATTCACATTCATAGTGTTGTATTTTCACCTTGTTATCTACCTGTATTTACTGATACAACTATATACCTGTAATTTTTTTAGGCACATACATTAATGTGTGATGTGCATGTTACGTAAGTGAATGTGTGTGTGTGTTTGTGTGTGTAGCTCATGGTGATTCATGCTCTGTGAGAATGATTCATCGTTGGAACAGAGTAACTATGATGCTTGTAACTATGGCAACAGTGCATGTGGTGGGAAGGCAGGTCCGCCCCCAAGCTCTTAACACACACACACACACACACACACATGCTTGAAGAGCCGATGCACTCTGAATGGCAGACGGAAGTTGATGAGCCCTTTAACCCTTTGCTGACAAACACACCACTATAGCAAAGTAATCACGTTCAAACAGATTTTATAGGAAATGCATGAAAAAGAATGAAAAAATGGCATATCTTTATATTACATTGCCCATTTTAGACATAATACATGCAATTAACAGTAATTATTAAAATATAATTACAAGCAGACCCACAAAAGTAACTTTAGTTATATGTTGTAATAGCTTAGTAATTACAATGTAATAACATAGTAATATGACGAGAATGTTTTCATCATGTAGCATATAGAAGAATAAATACAAGCAAATTAAATGCATGTTATAATCGATCGACAGCATTTGTGGCATAATGCTGATCACTCAAAAATAATTACTCGTCTCTTGATTTCTTAAAAATAATAAATGTTTATGTTATGGTGAGGCACTTTGACTTCAGTGTTGTTATTGTTAACAATTTTTATTTCTTTATTTATAAAACAATCTAAATATTAGATGAAAAATTTCAACCTAAAAATTTTAAACAAACAATGGCAATTAACTGAAATAAGCTCAAGTAGTAAAAGTAAAACTACAACTGAAGTTAAACACAAATATAAAAAAAAATACTAATGAAAATGGCAAAAGCACACAAAAAAATAGATTATGCTAAAATCAAAATGAAAGCTAAAAATATAAAAACAAAAGGAAATTCAAAATATTAAATCATATATTTAATATATTAAATAGAGTATATAAATAATACTAAAAATAACATTGCTTTTAATATTTATTGTCATTTTGTAAATTGGATAGAACTTTACAAATTAATTTGACAAATTACATCCATATTGTTTACATGCTGTCTACTGTTGAAACTTTAACATTTTAACATCGATAAATTGGCAGCATTCACTTTCATTGTAAATGTCTCAATATAACCTTGACTCTTTTTTCACACAAAAAAAGTCCAAAATAATTTTGTGTGTCAATCATCACTTGGTCAATTTATATCAGCAGGTGTACAGCTCCGTCTCTTCCAAAGTCTGCCAATGGCCTTTTTTTAGGGAACTTGGGTCAATGTTTGTGTACAATAAGTGTTTTTTTAAACAATTGTGTACATCTCATTTATCATCATTAAATTGTGTTATAGTGTTATCCACCTTGCTCTCTAGACATCCCATAATGGTAAAGCGCGTGAATGCTTGAATGCACTTGAATATTGAATGTTCTCAGAAACACTGTAATGTGACCTTGACCTGCCGGCTGGATTTATACTGTGGTACTGCGCTCAATAAATCCAACATCCACTGCAGTCATGCATCATATAGATCAGTGACACTGGTTGCGGTTTAATGCCTGTTTAAAATAACGTGAGCAAAACATGAGTTGAAACCTAATATTATATTTGTTTTAGATGGTGCATTAGTGCTAGATTAGTGAAAAAGTATTTTGTGTTTGTTAAAGGAATGTTCTGCATTCAGAAGAAGGTAAGCTCTGTCTGCAGCATCTCTGGCATGTTGTCGATTATCACAAAGTCATTTTGAATCATCCTTCAGTTTGTAAAGGCAAGAAAAAATTGCTTTTACAGTACTACTCTAACAATGGAAGTCAATAGGACAAGTGTATCATATGCTTTAAAAGCAGAAATATGCAGCGGTTTTTTTTTTATGAATTCTTCTGTATAAAAATGCGTTAGTTTAGCTGTAAATTCATTGAATCATTGATAAGCAGAAGGTTGCTGACTCTCTCTCTCTCTTTCTCTCTCTCTCTCTGTCAGGCAGATGGAGCGCTGCATCTCTGCAGACAGCCTCACTTCCTGAACCTGAGGGCTACAATTTCACCTCCTTCCATTCCCACTCCACTTCCTCTCCTCTCTCCATGATGCAAGGTCTGCTTTTCTACACAGTGCAGTGAGATACGCCGTTTGTGTGTGTGTCTACAGTGGGCTCTGAAAGATTGGGAACACACTGGAAATCTGGGATCAAAAATCTAGAACGTTCAAACTCTGATTTTTCTAATATAATTTGTGATGTAGAAAAATTCAAAACAGCATTGAAAGCACGATTAGAACCAAAACAATATAGGAATTTAGTTACGGAACCTTCATATAGGTAAGTAATCATGTATGTTGTCCTTGTGGACAACGAAGGAGGCACTTACGCACACACTCAAGACCACTATGCGAAAATAAGCCCCTCAGGACGCCTAACTCGACACTTCCTCTCAGAGAAACCACAAAAACAATCACATGCTCTCACTCAAACCAACTGACTATCAAGCTGTCAGGAGCCAAGACAAACGCAAACACTCGCTCATGTGAAAAAACGGCCAGCCGGCTTAATGTTCAAGCATCATACTGAAAATCTGCTGCAGAGGTTAATTAGAATATTACAGAGAATGTGCTGAGATTATCTGCTAAAGCAAGCAGCACTATTACTACTGCTCAGGGTTAGGGATTTGAACAAATCCCTAAAGATGTGGTCGCATTTAATGATGTTCGGTGAAATCCCAGACTGTCCTCCTCCAAAAAAAACAACTCATATGTGGAAACAGCTTATTACGACCGATACTTACTTATAAATAACGGAAGTTACACGGTCCCTTACCCACATTTTTCCTCTTTCCAATTTTCAAAATTGACATTTAGATTCATGCATTTGGCAGATGATTTGGAAAGCCATTTACAGTGCATTCAAGGTATACATTTCATCAGTATGTGTGTTCTGTGGGATCGCAACCCATGACCGTTGCGCTGCTGTAACACAATGCTTTACCAGTCCATCTACACAAATCCTAATACAGATAAAGTGCACAATGTATTAATACGAACATTTCTGTGGCATGTCTTGCTGTCAGTAGGGGCAGTAATTTAGTAACCACTCCTATGGGTCGTATTTCAGGGAAGTGACAAATGACCTATACAATTGTTTGGGTTGGGGGACATGTTACAAAATACAATACTTTCAACAGGAATCCATGCAATCTTGGAATTTCGTGTGGATTCGCTGTGTTGACCAACAGAAAGCTGCTTGGTTTGAAAGTAACTTTTGTGTGAGCTGTGCTTCATACATCGCTACAATATTGACCATAGACAATGAAATTTCATGTGACTGCACCTAACGATCAGTATTAAACACTGGTGTGTATTACTTTTCAAGTGCAATTACTGAAAGCGATTCTAGTGCAATTACTGTGCAATTACTTTTAGCGATTAAACTTACAATATGGACGATGAAATGGGTGAAAAGAAATCTTATAGCTTTCCATTAACCCAAGCCATATCTAGTGACCAGAATATCACAGAGACTTGTAATTGAGTTGTTTTGACTTGGGCCAGTAAGAAACACCCTAGCAACCACATAGCATCATGAAATCGAAACCGCTCCAAGCACCTTAAGCACCTTTGGCAACAACCCTAGCATTGCGACAACTACACATTATTTTCTTAAGAAAATGTATATCTTCTAAACAAACATACTAAATGAAACACAGTCAACTCCTCCATAACACAATTTCAAAAGCTTCATTGTCTATCCCAAATGGGGTAGAAAATTGTCTTTAGACATTCCACATGTTTATTCCCTATCAGAAGTCATCTAGTCAAGATGCATGGCACAAACCATTGGCAGAGACAAACGAACGGAAGAAAACACTTTAGTAGTCATCTATAGTCAATAAGGATTATTCAACATTAGTGTGCACTTCAATAAACTCTCTGCGAAACACATGTTATAGTAGATTAGGTGTGCATTAGTAATTAGTAGAGCACATTAGAGTCGAAGCACAGCCTTCCTTTAGCATTCCTCTTTTTCAAGTTTCACAAAAGAAAACCCACTTATTCCGCCCAGAACAATGCGTCTTTCCAGAGCTACAGTCCGTAATGAAGCCTTGGCAGAGCCGCGCACAGAGCTGAGAGGTGCTTACCTTTGATTCCAAACTTTGAGTTGCGTCCAAACTTCAGAATGACGAGCATCAAGATGAAGCCTGTGAATGTGACCGCCGCAATTCCCACGACCACGTACACCTACGAGCAGAACGAAGAGCCTTCAACCAGCATTCAAAGCTTCAAGCACGGTTGGGTAAGAAAAACATGCTCTCTGGGAGGAAAAGATTTTCCTCTAGGATTTTGACCATTTTCTCTTACACAAGTCATTTAGTCTGTGGGTTTTCAGAGTTTACTGTACTAAAAACTGATTGGCCATCTAGAGATCACAACGTATGGTATAGTAAAACAAACAAAAAAAGCTACTTATTTTCCAGTTTGCCAAATGTTTTGAGTCTCAAATACTGAGAAATGTAATTTTCTACATTAAAGCCCATTTAAGAATGACACAATTCCCCCAAATTGACCCAACTAGTCAAACACACATTCTGAACAAAGAATTTCATACTGCTGAAATGTTGAGGGTTTGTGAGTTCCCAGAATGCATTGCAGTATGCATAAATTATGTGATAACTGTTATCCGCCGACTCCCCATGACACTTTGCACGATTTATGGGAGTAACTGTAAACAATCAGCAAAAGGTTTGCTCAATGAAAGCAACAATATGCATTTTTCAAAAGACTGTGTACAATGAGGTGACATTATTCTCATCACGCTTCAACCATCCAACATTAAAAGGAAATGTATAAGTGTATACCAAACATACCAAGAAAAGCTCGATTGTATCTGCAGCAATATTACTGACATGATAAATATCATTGCAGTAACATGTCTATATAACCTAACAATTAAAATTTAAACCATCTGTGTGAAACTAAACCTGAAAAGAGACGTGAGGATTTGGGGAGAAAAACAAGAGATGCATTCTAGTGAATTATTCATGCGATATATCGTGAAAGCAGACCACAAATGTGCAGTATTTGTCTTCTTTCATGTAGTTACAGGAGAGTACAAGGGGGAAAAATGAAAATAACCAGGAGGTAAAGATGCAGTGGAGTGAAAAGGGCTCTTCCTTTTTTTGTTATATCACATCACATCACATTATTCTCCTGACTTCAGAAAATTGAACATGAAATAAAATGTACAGCTAATAAAATGGTGGATTATTGAGCTATCGGTAAGCCCCTCCCCTCGAACGCAGTTGAGCCAATGGCAGTCGAGTATCAGTTGCACAGAGAGCGGAACTCGGACATCTTTAGGTTTCAGCGCCATAGAGAAACATTGGAAGCTCCGAAGCTTGCATCGGTTTAATGGTGTTTATGCTACAAAAATGGAAAAACTATAAGCCTAGGGTACTTGTAACACTCATTCCAGTTATCCCGAGAGGATAGGCAATGTAATTTATGTTAATCCATTTTCTAAATCCAACCAAAACAGAGCAAAATGTCCCTAAGCATTCAATCCCAATCCCAATGAATACGAAAACGTTCATTTTCTGGTTGTCATACTCTCACTAAGTTAAACTTTTCATCTGCTCTAGCAGAACGTTAATGTCTTGTGCTTCAGCAAGGTATCTCTGGCTAAAACCAGCTAACGCAGTGGTTCTCAACCCACGGCCCATCACAAATTCAAATGCGGCCCACCATGCTGAGCACAATAAAAAAAAAATACTTTCAGTTTTACAATTCATTTTAGTTTTTACATTAATTAAAAAATGTACTAAATAAATATAAGCTATAGCCTAATGTTTTTATGTAAAATAATTTTGTTTTTCATATATTATTTTCAGACATGAGCAGTACTCACTTAGCCTAATTAACTTTACGCATTTAAAATAACGACCAAGTGGCCAGCGGCAGACAGTGAGCATATGCTTGATCAATTTAGCCTTCTCAAATCATCCCGACTTGATTAAAATAAAATCTATAGATATAAAACAGTTCAAGCATATAACAATGTTTATACGTTAAACCTGGATAAATGTGCGCTGTATCCAATAGTTTGTGTGGAGAGTGGAAGCTAAAGCGCACTTTGCAGGACATCACTTGTGTTTTTTTCAGTGAATACGCCGTCATTTTTGCTCATAAGGGTAAGAGTAATACACCATTTGTAACTGTAAAGGGTCTACTTTTATTTGTGTGCACTCACAATATCAACAAAACGTTGTGCTTTTATAAAATAAAGAAATCAAACATGATGCGCTTAAGCATATAACAATGTTTAGACGTTAAACCTGGATAAATGTGCGCTGTATCCAATAGTTTGTGTGGAGAGTGGAAGCTAAAGCGCGCTTTGCAGGACATCACTTGTGTTTTTTTCAGTGAATACGCCGTCATTTTTGCTCATAAGGGTAAGAGTAATACACCATTTGTAACTGTAAAGGGTTTACTTTTATTTGTGTGCACTCACAATATCAACAAAACGTTGTGCTTTTATAAAATAAGGAAACTAAACATGATGCGCTTTCTGCCGTCTCTTCTTCAACAGGAAGAAACTCAGCGAATACATGCCTCACAGACATGATAAATATATCTATAGAAAGCTTTAAATTACTACTTAACGAAATAAAACAAATCAAAAACAAAAACTCTTTCAACTGTTCAGCTGCGCTGACGGCACGCAGCATACATGCTGCTGCTGGACACTAAACACCGTAGAGCCGCTCTTGAGTCATGGTAGCACGGTCTCGTGTTGTTTCCACCAGCGCAGCAATCTTTTTTCATCACTAATTGATGGATGTCTAAAATATAAAAATAAGACGAAGTCTAAAACAGGCCCGAGGCCCTGCCCGCGTCTGAACTATGACGTGAAAATTGTCCCGAAGCCTGGCCCTAGGGGCGTAAAAAAGTCGGGGCCCGTCGGGCCCAGGCTGAAATGCAGGGCTCTAGCTCTGATCTAGCACACAGAAAACGATTTGACTGAAAATTTATCAGAAGAGATGAAAGTAAGACAGTGGTCATCTGCGCAATTCAGAAAAAGACGCGGCTTTTCTGGATTAGGTATGGTTTTTTTTTACTCTTTGTACAGCAGTTATTGTTCATTCTAAATATTTGTTTTAATGTAGAATATGTGTTACATAAATACATGAAATGTAGAACATATAAAAAAGTGCTCGTGGCTCGTCTGCCACTGGGGAAAATATAACTATATGGTTTTTAGGTAGCCTATTTGTATGAAAAACAGTAGTCTAAAACACTCTGCATAAATGCACACATGCTATAGCTTAATCACAAATACCTACTATAATTATATACCATTACTCCTGTAATAAAATTCAATGTGAATATCACACATTTCTGCCACAATACCAAGGTGCAGTGAGTGTTACTACAGTAAATCCATGGTAAATGATGGCGACGTGTAGATTGAAAAGCCTTCTGACTGTCTCGTTGCACACAGTGTTTCTCCTGTTTGGCTTTAAACTAGTTTAAATCACAGTCATTTGTGTTCATCGCTGAATTCAAGCGCTTCACACTGGATCTCACAGCGCTGGTTAACGCTCGCGTGACTGAGTAAACGCATCTGTTCTAGTGAGCTCGCGCCGCGCGGCAGTTTGAACTGTGATCCGATTGGATAAACGGTCCGAGTGGCGCCATTCAAATGAGTCGCACTGTTTCGTTCAGCTTTTGGCGCATAAACATTATATCGAACTCTTCATATCGTTTTATCGAGGAAAATTATATCGCGATAAATATCGTTACCTAATTATCGTCCAGCCCTACGATAGGTCAATTGTTTTGCTGTTTGCCTACTTTATTTAAACTTCTTGTTTTGTAATTATTGTTAGTAATTTGTTGTGTTGTGTTGTGTTGTTAAGAGCTCATCTTTCTACATTTGATGATTGTCACCATTATTGAGGTTTGTACGTTTGTGCGACTATATATATATATATATATACACATCGAAACAATAATTAACTAATTGTGCTACTAAATGAAAATTTACAGAACAACAGCTCTGTTGACGCTTTGACAAATTTATTGGCTATACTAGGCATTTTGTATTTTGTGAACGAACAAATTCAAACTTTGAAAGTTGAGAGAAATTTGATTTTTTTTTTTTTTCAACCATTTATTTTTTTACAATATAGCTTGTAATCATGCCCTGACACTGTGATGTAATGAAATATATTAAAAAGGTTATGAATTCTGATTGTATGAAACGCATTTGAAGCTGATGTAAAATGATGATAAACGTACACCAGTGAACGCACATCAATGTGGCTAGACGCTCCATTGCTTGTCAACCACAAACAGCTTAATGGACTTGAATCCAATTATTAATAATAATAAAAGTAACTATTTAAACACATCAGTGTCATTTATCATATTGCTGTCATTTTAAAAGGGGAATATGCTACTTGAGGGTGTGTGTAACAATGCCTGTTTAGGGGTTTTAGGTGTAAAATCATACTACATACGATCAAAACAGACATGTATTTTGATTCTGATGCAATAAAAACTCAACAGAAACTACACAAATAACTGAATTTCACTCACAGCGACTTTGTCCTCAGGCGGTCCAAGAGGAGTGTCATCTGTTTAAAAGAGAGGAAACACTAAGATACATACGCTTTTAGACTACATATCTATAATGTGCATGTTCATGTGTCTTTCGTTCATACCTGTAGTGGGATCTCACATGCAAAAGACAAAAAGAATACACTTTTTTAATAACTTACTCTTGTAATAAAGACTTAATGACATTATAATATTGCATGTATTACTTAATAAATGCCTAAACATGGAAGGTTCCCCCCAAAAATGAACATTTAGTCAACAATACCTGTGTAACTTCATTAAAACTTTTTGTGTGGCACACAAGTAAATGATGTCAAAATCGACATTTTTTGGTGAACTATGACTATGATAATCATTCATATTATTCTGTAATTTGATTATGAAGACTTAAAAGAGACTCACCATAATACAGCGGATCAGTAACTGATTCTGATGGATAAACATGGAAAGGAAAACAAGCAAGGTAACTTTTCAGACACAGCCATATTTACTGTAATTATTTTGATTTGGTTGCATGCAGATTTCAGCTCACCGTTCCACGGCTCATGCATGAAATGCGCGAATACTGCCTTGCGGTCCTCTCCGTATGTATTACTGACCAGCAGCGTGTATTTTCCATTGTTGATGTGTGTGGGACTGTCCAGGTGTAAGCAGCCGTGGTACTCGCCCTCTGAGTAATCGTGGACCATGGTGCGGATAAAGGGACCCTCCTCCACGGGTTTGCCGTTTAATAACCAGCTCAGTTTAGGCTCTGGGTTGCCCGACACGCTGAAGGGAATGCACCAGTGGTGGTCCGAGATCGCATCCATCAGCTTGCTGATTACAGGTGAAACTGGCATCCCAAATAAATGGCACAGATAAACACACAGCATTATTACAGCTACAAGCATAGATGTAACTTGAATGGTCTTATTGAAATGCATTACTGGCTGATTAAAGAAATTTCAGATATCTTTTCAAGAATCAAAGATATCTAAATTAAGGAACTTCTCATTGCTAATGAATAGATTTAAAGGAATGTCACAGAAAACAGGATTTTTGGCTCTTTTAAAGTAAAATAAATCTAATAAACCTAATAAACAACATCAATAAATTAGTTGTCATGAACTAATTTATGACTTTTTGGTTAATGAAACCTTAGATTCATGTGGACTTACATAACTGTTCAAAATAATTATTTTATTTAAAATAAATTAATATGCATTTAATTGATCAAAATTGATCAAAAGTGACAGTAAAGACATGTTATAAAAAGTTTTCAATTTCAAATGAGTGCTGTTCTTTTTATCCTTCTATTGATCAAAGAATCCTGAAAAAATGTATCATGGTTTCTACGAAAATATTAAACTGTTTTCTACATTGATAATAATCATGTTTCTCGAGCAGCAAATCAGCAAATTTAGATTGATTTCTGAAGGATCACGTGACACTGAAGACACTAAATCTAGGGTAGTATAAAATCTACAAATGTAATTTCCAGTATAAATGAGTAGTTATGCCAGTCTTATTCAATAACAATTTTCTTGGTAACTTACACAGTATGTCCAGATCCACAGAGGCCTCAGCCTCTCCCACCATGTTTTCAGACCTGCAGGCGATTTTGCATCCGTTGTCCAGGGAAGAGACATTCACAAGTCTGAACTCTGACATCTGACCTGAGCGCTCCTGCTGCGGGTGTGAGTTACAGCAATGTCAATGTCATTTCTATTTAAAGTCTACATGCAATCCAACTCCTCCCTATTTACAGATCCTCATAGCCTTATTGTGCATTGTTGCATGTTATTCCAAATAAAAAAGACAAGATTTTTGTCTTTAATCAAGATGTAATCACTTGCTACTCCACTGAAATGACTTTCTTTTTCCATTGGCGTCACTTAGGCGGACAACCATTTGGATAATGTTAACCAATAGCTATTCAGGCATTGTTGTTTTTCTGAATATCCTGTTACGCCACATTAAGAAAATGGTTTGCAAATGGCAATTTATATGAACTTTAAGGTATTTCTGCCCTGTTCCATAAATCAAAGCCTTAAAATCTGGTAAAATCAACAAATATTCCATATAAAATAATTACAAGCAATCATCTCAGTAAAACTCTAAAGCAAATGTCACATAATAAGAAAGGCATTAACAATGCATAACTTTCATAATGGATCTTAAAGGGATAGTTCACCCAAAAAAGAAAATTTGATGTTTATCTGCTTCCCCCCAGGGCATCCAAGATGTAGGTGACTTTGTTTCTTCAGTAGACCACAAACGATGATTTTTAACTCCAGCCGGTGCAGTCTATCAGTCATATAATGCATGGCAATGGTAACAAAATCTATGAGAGTAAAAAGAACATGCACAGACAAATCCAAATTAAACCCTGCGGCTCGTGACGACACATTGATGTCCTAAGACACGAAACAATCGGTTTGTGCCAGAAACCGAACAGTATTTTTTCCCTCTAATCCACCACTATGTCCAACTGCTTTGGGCGCGCGCACGGCATCCGGTGCGTGAGGTGTGTATGCGCTCTGGCGTAGTTTACGCAAGCGCCGGAAGTGATCTCTCGCACGTATACGTCACTCATTGTTTACACAGTGCACAGTCATTGTAGGTACGACGGCTAATCAAAATGGTACTTACTTGCGCTTATCCAGATTGTTCAAACGGACTTAAAACTAAACGATTACATTCTCTCGCGCGAACTCATTCGGGAGTGGGGACTTTCCACGTATTCCCAACTTCCGAGCCTGCTCGCCTGAAGTTATGGTTGATTGCTCTTCGACAACACACCCATTAACGTAAACTACGCCAGAGCGCGTACACACCTCACGCAC